GTGTACGAACATCAGAATGATAGGGGTGCCAGAAGATGAGAGAGAGCAAGATATTGAAAACCTATTTGAAGAAATAATGACAGAAAACTTCCCCTACCTGCTGAAAGAAATAGACTTACAAGTCCAGGAAGTGCAGAGAACCCCAAACAAAAGGAAACCAAAGAGGACCACACCAGGACACATCATAATTAAAATGCCAAGAGGAGAAGACAAAGAGAGAATCTTAAAAGCAGCAAGAGAAAGACAGTCAGTTACCTACAAGGGAATACCCATACGACTGTCAGCTGATTTCTCAACAGAAACCATGCAGGCCAGAAGAGAGTGGCAAGAAATATTTAAAGTGATGAATAGCAAGAACCTACAACCAAGATTACTTTACCCAGCAAAGCTATCATTCAGAATTGAAGATCAGATAAAGAGCTTCACAGATAAGGAAAAGCTAAAGGAGTTCATCACCACCAAACCAGTATTATATGAAATGCTGAAAGGTATCCTTTAAGAAGAGGAAGAAGAAGAAAAAGGTAAAGATACAAAATATGAACAACAAATATGCATCTATCAACAAGTGAATCTAAGAATTAAGGGAATAAATAATCTGATGGACAGCATGAACTTGTGATTATAATAGAATCAGGGACATAGAGAATGGACTGGCTATTCTGGGGGGGGGAGGGAAGAGGTGTGGGGGATAGGGGAAGAGACTGGACAAAAATTGTGCACCTATGGATGAGGACAGTGGGTGGGGAGTGAGGGCGGAGGGTGTGGTGTGAACTGGGAGGAGGGGAGTTATGGGGGGGGAAGAGGAACAAATGTAATAATCTGAACAATAAAGATTTAATTAAAAAAAAAACTTGCATCTGGGGCCTGTGACCAGTATTCAGTGGGGGACCTCTTGGTTCATGGGTCAACGCTCAACTACTGAGCCACACCAGCTGGACTGTTTCAGCACATTGAAGATATCTTATTTTCTTTTAGTTTCCATTGCTACTGTTGAGAAATTGTCAACATGGAACATAGCTGTCACTCTAATAGTCTTGTGTTTAAAGGTTAAATGTCTTTTCCCCATGGTTTTTACTTTTTTTGGGGGGGGGTTACTTTAAAAAAAAGATTTCTTTGTTTTGGGCTTTCTGAAATTTCACAATGATGTTTCTAGGTATGAACATATTTTTTTAAAATATGGAACGCTTCACGAATTTGCGTGTCATCCTTGCACAGGGGCTATGCTAATCTTCTCTGTATCGTTCCAATTTTAGTATATGTGCTGCTAAAGCAAGCACGGTATAAATATCTTTTATTTATCCTGCTAGGTTTATTTGAATCTCTTGAAACTGCATTGGTGTTTTCATCAATTCTGGAAATTCCCAGCAATTATTTTTTTCAAATAATTGATCCTGTAATTCTGGTTAAATGTATGTTAAACCTTTTTATTCTGTCCTATGTTTCTAACCATCTTCTTTGTATTTTTCATCTTATTAACCTTCTGAGTTGCATGCTGAATAAATTATATTCTGACTTCTTTTACTCCATGAATTCTTTATTTGGATATATCTAATTTTCTTTTAAAACTTTTATTCAGTTTCAAATTTTGATTATCATATTTTTCAGTTCTATTCTGTTGTCTTCTAACCTTTCAAATTTATTTTCTGTACATCTTTAAGTATAACTTTAGTTCAATTAGAGTGATTAGCATATTATGGACTGTGTCTGATAATGAAGATATTTGAAGTGTTTGCAAATTTATTTCTGTGTTCTTTTTTCCCTCCTGCTGGCTCTCACTCATAGTGTCATGTTTCTTTGTGTATGCAGTTATTTTTGTGTTAAAGTTAACTAAAATCACTTATATAATAGTTCTAGGCTTAGAATGAATAAACCTTCTTCATAGAAGGTCTGCATTTGGTTCTATTAGGATCTGTCACCTTAAATCAAAATTCAAGTTCAAAGCTGATATTCCACACGAAGGATCACCCACCTACTGGTTAAGATGTGGTTCTTAGGGATTCATATTTATTAATGTGAGGGTCTTCTATAAATTTCTTATTTGTTATGCTTCTCCCTTATTATATAAACCATCAAAATAGAGGCTCACATTTCCCAGGATTCCAAGTATTCCCAGGGAAAAAGTGGATATGGGGCTCATTTATCTCTTCAGGTTACTTTTAAATAGTAACTGTGACCTGACAATATACGTGCCTTTTTAGGTCATTATTTTCAGTGGAAGTGTTGGTCTACATAATCTATACCATCCTAATTAAAAATGTAAAGTATCCCTTGGTATGTCTCAAAATTACAAGTAAATTCTTAGGTTTCATGGGGTTCAGGGGATTGATCTTCTCAAGAGCATAGAGAAATAATATCTATTTTTAGCAACTGATCAATACTAAATCAACTTCATAATGCTGCAATCAATTTAAACAATCTCTTAGAAGAGACAATTTCTGTCATGGACATTGGTATAGCTCTCACTTCTCACTGCACCCTAATCCTCCTACATATAAACACATGTCTCCTTTCCTACATCTGTTCCTTCTTCTCTCCTTCCATTATCTTTATTTATATATTTGTATTTTCTACAAATATGGTATTATGTATTATATGGGTATATGGCACTGTACTGTACATCCAATGTCTTCCTTCTTTATTTCATTAACAGTGTGAATTTCCATTTCAATTTCTTAAGAAATTTTTTCACCTGTACTTTTCTGCTGGAGGATTGTTTACTCAAGATAATACCATAGACTACATTCTAGTTAAGTAATAAGCAATATAAAATAATACAAATTTAAACTAGCAAACAGGGTATATTACAGAAAACAAAACAGGGATGTAAAGTATCAGGACATTGTAAGACTCTTCTCCCAAATCAGCATCAACAACAATAAAGAAAAGTTACTTAAGAAATCAATAATTTCCAATGTGGTCACTTTTATTTTGTCAAAAAGTAAAATCTCAAAAAAACACTTTACTATAAACTAACAAAAAGGTGCTCTAGTACTGAATACAGTAAGTTAACATTTTTAATGTTTATGATGAAAAGTTTTCAAGGAGAATAATATGATAAAATCCAATTTCTTTTCACCCAGATTCAGCAGCATTTAAAATTTTTGCTTTAGTTAAGCTTTAACGAAATGTCTAGAAGTAAATTACATATATTGTAGCATTCACTCTTAACACATTCGATTGCAATTCCAAATAATCAACAACATTGTTTTGCATAACAATACTATTACCACAAAAAATGAGCAATAACTTCTTTAACATGCCATTTTTCAACTTTTAAAATTGATTTGAGAGAGAAACGTCAATTTGTTGTCCACTTATTTACGCATTCATTGGTTGATACTTGTGTGAGTCCTAAAAAGGAATTGAACTCGCAACCTTGATGTATCAGGATGACTTTATAACCAACTGAGCGACCTGGCCAGCCCAATATGCCATTTTTGAAAAAATAAATGAAAACAAACAAACAAACAGAAAACACACAAACTAATAAAGATTTGTAAAGCAAAATGCAAGAGCTTCAGGAATAATACATGCAACTACTGTACAACTGAAATCCACTATAAATTGGCAAAATCTTACCAGTTTGCCAAGAATAATGAAAGACTAAATGTTTAAAATAAAAATTTTATTGGATGTTGACTCCAAAGCTATTCCTGAAGTTCTCATTTTCCTCTACATTTCTACCAGTGTCATGGGCTGGAAGATTGGGAATAATCGGCTTCAGAAATTTAAACTCATCTGTCCCAGTACCTCCCATCAGACACACCTCATACTGGTAGCTCTGGGACAGGGTCCCGGTGCCGCTGACGTCCACCAGGCGGCCCGGAAAGGGGCCCTCAGGCACCGAGCAGCCACCCACCCAGGCGGCCCTGCTCCGCCTGCACAGCCGCACCGCGATGAACGCCAGCACCGAGAACAGGAACAGCGACGACACCGCCGCCAGCGCGATGACCAGGTGCACGGTCAGCGGGTCGGCCGGCGCCGGGTCGGCCGCCGCTTCGGGCAGCGGCAGGTGGGGCTGCGAGAAGCCGTCCACCAGCAGCACGTGCAGCGTGACGCTGGCCGACAGCGCGGGCTCGCCATGGTCCCTGACCAGCACCAGCAGCCGGTGCCGGGCCGCGTCGCGCTCGCTCAGCAGCCGCGCCGTGCGCACCTCGCCATTGTGCGCCCACACGCCGAACAGCCCGGGCTCCGTGGCCTTGAGCAGCTGGAACGACAGCCAGGCGTTCTGGCCCGAGTCCGCGTCCACCGCCACCACCTTGCTCACCAGGTAGCCCGGCTCGGCCGAC